TACAGTGCCGGCAGAAAGTTTATGGTAATCCATTTTTGGAGAAGTTTTATGATTAGTTGTATGATTAAAATGCCTACGTTGCAATTATATGCAATGTAAACGTGTCAAACATTTGTACAAACACATCATTGTTCATAAATTCGCTATTCTGCAAAGCTATTATCTGTAGCTACTGAAATATGCAAGTAGGAGTATTTCCAAAATATGATAATTTAACCTAGCGGAGGAAAAACATGCAAATGTTAGCAAGCATGAGTCAAAATACAGAGCAGTTTCTCAATGTTGATGACAATGTATTCACGAGCACACAGGAAGCAATGAATATCAGCACTTTGCTGGATATCCATGATTCCTCATCGCTGCCGAGATTCTCCTAGGCATTGACTCGATGAGCCTGAGGCACTCCTCAGAAGTGACTTCATTGCACCAAGCATGCATGATCTGCTGTTTTAAGTCATGCAAACTGCTAGGGTTGCACCGTGCCACCCGTCTCTTAGCATTCTCCTTGGCAAACCCACGTCTGTAGCTATGAATAATCAATTAGCCAGCATGATATATGTACCCTTGGAAGCAGCATTTTATCGCAATTGTGATTGAAGCTATGAATGGACAATTACCATAAACTTTCTGCCGGCACTGTAGTTCTGATTAGGGCAGTGGCCATTTTTGGGACTTATTTCATGCCTCCCTACATTGGTGAAAAGTTATTGTGAAGTGTGCATCATATGTGTATGATACCTGTTTCATTGGATTGTATGTAGAAAACAATTGGACACTACACACTGGTAATCTGTGTTCCACATTGTTTTCCATGCAATGAAGCATGTATGATACATGCTTCATGAATATGTTTTTCCAGCATGCAGTATAACTAAAACCCTGATTGCCTTGTTGAAACAATTTTACTCCCATTGGAATTTGGAATACTGTGGTCTGTTCCAGGAACATAGCAGCAGAAAAAAATTCTAAATGCTATTTGCCCTAAAGGTTACCTAATTGAAATCCAATAACACGTTGGACACTATCTTGGTATTTTTTGTAGAATCAACTTTGCACTTGGTGTTGCGACTGCGTGGAGGTGCGAAGAAGCGTAAGAAGAAGAATTACACCACTCCTAAGAAGGTGAAGCACAAGAAGAAGAAGGTCAAGCTTGCTGTCCTGAAGTACTACAAGGTGTGTTTGATGAACCTTTTTTGTTTCTTTAAAGAAAGAAATATGGGATGCTGTAAATAATTTTAAGGAGAGCTTCTTTAATGCTTGCATTGAACAACAGCAATAATAAACCATTCCAAGAAGAAAAAGCACTCTTCCCGAGCTTAAGTGGCTATTGCCCTCTCTTTCCTTTTTCTTTGCTCAAAATTCATACACTGATGGCGATGATCAGTGCATGAATAGGTCTCTTAGTTCTCCCTTGATCTAGGATATAATACATGACGACCTTTGTAGGAGTATAGATATAGCAACCAATGAAAGATGGAAAGTCCTGTCCATTGCCACTCCACTGCTCATGTTTTTTTTTTTTTTTTTTGGAATGGTGTATTCATGAATTATCTCCTTGGTGCTGAAGGAATAAAGTCACATTTTTCATGTCCTTCCTTTTGATAAACCTGTTTACAATTTTCCCTTAACCTTTTGAGTTGCAAATTAATAAAGAATTATTTCCTAAAATAGTCATATTTTTTGTTTCTGTAGTCTGCTGTAAAATCAATCCCAAGCTGTTCCTGTTTTTGTCACTAGATAAGACTACCAATCAAGCAATCATTGTGGTTTTAGAGTGGAACTACCTTTCCAAGTATGCTACATGTGCTATGGAAGGTAGTTACACTGTGAAACCACTCACCCAAGGCATTAATTGAAAGTGGTATGTCTTATTAAAGTAGGACTGCAAAAGGTTTTCATTTTGTGAAGTTTTTGCCTAATAGATGGGTGGAAAGAAGTTTGCCCAACTGAGTATTGATTGAGAAGGAAGTTTTGTTTGAAGAGACTTTGTGTGCTTCATGCTTGTTACTGGCAGTCTAAATGAATCTAAATGAAATCAGTTTTATCCAAAAGAGGCTTGATAGAAACCCAATTCATTTAAATGAAGTGTATGAAGTTGAGCAGTGAAAGTGAACAGTTCATTCTCGTTGACCTTTTGAAATTGTATACATGAACTTAAATTGCTAAAATTGTAGCTTCTTAGTTGAAAATTTANAGAATTATTTCCTAAAATAGTCATATGTTTTGTTTCTGTAGTCTGCTGTAAAATCAATCCCAAGCTGTTCCTGTTTTTGTCACTAGATAAGACTACCAATCAAGCAATCATTGTGGTTTTAGAGTGGAACTACCTTTCCAAGTATGCTACATGTGCTATGGAAGGTAGTTACACTGTGAAACCACTCACCCAAGGCATTAATTGAAAGTGGTGTGTCTTATTAAAGTAGGACTGCAAAAGGTTTTCATTTTGTGAAGTTTTTGCCTAATAGATGGGTGGAAAGAAGTTTGCCCAACTGAGTATTGATTGAGAAGGAAGTTTTGTTTGAAGAGACTTTGTGTGCTTCATGCTTGTTACTGGCAGTCTAAATGAATCTAAATGAAATCAGTTTTATCCAAAAGAGGCTTGATAGAAACCCAATTCATTTAAATGAAGTGTATGAAGTTGAGCAGTGAAAGTGAACAGTTCATTCTCGTTGACCTTTTGAAATTGTATACATGAACTTAAATTGCTAAAATTGTAGCTTCTTAGTTGAAAATTTAATAAAGGACATCTCTTATTAGTAGGGCTGTATTGGCAACCACTGGTATCAACTGGTGTTGTGCTAGCAATTAAAGTGAAAGCAAATATATCTATATAAATAGTGTTTCAGCCCTATTCTAGGAACTGGCAGAGGAAAATGATGGTAAAGAACAGGAAATCACTGCACCTCCTTTTATATTATGCTTTTATGAGAGATGTGTCTTTAAATTTTCTCAACAGCAGCTAACAGGTTAGCTTGTTATCGCTCAAGAGATAACAAGCTAACCACTGACAGACTGACTGTATTTAACATGATCTCTATCGTTTTTAGGGGTTCCCCTGACCAGTATCGCATCACCAAGTAGACCTATTTGAATTAGTATTCAATCTCATGTTACTTCTACTTTAGACAACTATCGGCGCTGGCACCGGCCAATGGTTGGGAGATGAAAATAAGTAATTGACCCACCAGCTAAAGGTGGCCATCCTTGCAGCCCTACTTGTTAGAAATTACTTTCATAGCCTTCTGTTTTCTTTTGAACACCATTGCACTTGATGTAAAATGTCATCATCAGGGTGTGTCATGATTTTGACTAAAAATCCAAAACGTAACTTATAAGACACATTATACGTATGGATACTTAATTAAAAAATCGGCATATACCAGTTATAGCTCGTAAGTCATAGTGTTCTACTGACTACTACTCAATACTGAATCCTGTGGAAGACTAGCCAAATCATGATGTGTCTGAGTAAGCTGAAGTCATCTCAATGTGTAGACTGAGAATGTAAATAAGTATTGTATATTTAGAAAGTCTGTATCCTTTGCACATCTATGTGCTTTGTTTTACAGGTGGATGAGAATGGAAAGATCCATCGTCTCAGACGAGAATGTTCCACAGAAGAATGTGGTGCCGGCATTTTTATGGCTGCCATGTTTGATCGCCAGTACTGTGGAAAATGTGGCCTCACATATGTCTACAACAATCCTGAGGAAAGTAAATAAAAAGGAGAGGAATATGGCATAAAATGAATGCTTTCTTCATTGTTTCAATAATATAGAATCTTCTGTATAATAAAATTACTGTGTTCCGTGGTGGTGTTGGAGGTAGGTTGCATGCGCGCGCGCACAGCGCGATTGCGTGTGCTCTCCCATAGCCAAAGTAATAGGTTCACGCAGCCTGTTCAAAGGCCGCTAACGTTCGAAGTGCACGCGCCACCCAACGCTACAGGCGTCTCGTCGCACTCCGCAGATAGTTTCGAGTGTATGACGTAACAGGATGTTTCGCTGATAAATTCTAATGCGAAACCCGACGGGAAGCTGAAGCGAGCCGTAAAGTTCTCCGTAAGGCCGGCTTATGGGGAAATGGCACACTGGGCGAATTTTGATTTCGGCGCTCCCCCTCCCCCCACCTCCTTGTTTTAGTGCGTGATCTTAACGGAGGTTTCAGGAATACTAATTTATATTTCGACTTTTAATAGGAAATCTTGAGTTACAGTTTTAATATAACCGGATTAGCGTTCTTGTGAACGTAAACAAATGGGCGCCCCAATTCGAGGGAGTCTTAGAGACCATGCACACTGACTGCGAAGAGCTGCGCTATGACCGTCGCAGCATGCTACATAATTTAATCGGACGATTCTTTTCTGTCGCATCTTCGCAGTGGTTTGTGCTGCGTAGCTATCGACTGCAAGTGATGAAATTATTGGATCCTTAACTTGGCGGCTCTTTAGGTGGGATGACGTCGGCGGTAGATGATGCCAATCATCACCATTGATTCTCCTCGAACGAGATACATAGCCAGAGTAAATAAATCTTCAAGAAAGGTCTCGATATCAATTATGTTCCCGATGATTTTCCATTGTTTCATTTCATGAATTCTAATTTAATTTTTTTTTAATTAAGAAGTTCTTGTTCGAGTGCAAAAACCTGAGTCGTCCCCTCCTTCAGGAGAGTGCTGCATGATTTGTATTTATTTGAGATATTCAAAATATATAGGGTGGTTAAGAAAAAAACTCTCTACCGTTTTCTATGGGAGAAACACTTTCATAAATGTAGCAAAAAAATTACATTGGATACGCGATCGATATTTGAAAGTTACAAGGTGTTGAAATGCTTGCCAGCTTGTTTTCAGCACCCCTGCCTAAGCCTAAGTCGTGCAATGCCCATTTAGAGCTGAATTAAAGGTGCTTAGCGGTGGAATGATCCACCTTTAAGCACCTCTAAGTGAAGAGATTACCTTTGCTCGGCCGTTTCAGAATTCAATGAACTTTTCAACTTTAACTTTTCTAGGGACAGTTGGATCCAGCTGATACTTGACACAGGTTCATGGGTCTAAGAGGTTTTTCACTTCCGCAAGATGGTGCTTGTATCCCGATAGAGGGCGCTGTTGTTGACCGGTTGACCGCAAAGCACGCTAAGCGTGCTTCGCACAAAATGTGCAGCGCTACTTGTCGTTTGACATCTCCGAGCAGTGCGCCACGGAATCGAACCGCGAGCTAAGTGGCGCTAGCCACTTTTAAGTGACTCAAGTAACGCCAAATCGGAGACCAGGTCGTAGCCGGACGACTCGAGATACACGACCACCACCAAATAAGTACTCATTTAAATGGAAATTTGCACTCTGTATTTATGCAGTATTGAACATGCTGAAATCTTCGTTGAAAATTGTTCAAAAACTGAAAATTGCTAGGGATTTTTTTAATTTAAATGTTTCCTAACTATATTTCTTTTTCTGAAACTACTGACGTACATGTTTGTTAATGAAAATTTAGCTTATTCGTCATTAAATAATTAGTAACTGAAATTTTTTCACTTTTCCATTATTGGTGAACGGAGTAATGTATTAAAAAAAAAACACCTATTTTTTACAAGGTTTTTTCCACTGATAAAGAGGCACGGACTACTATATAGTACGTGAATTTCTTCTTCGCAGAGCTTCATTACGTAGTTATTGAATTTTGAAATTGTGATTAGCGAAGTTCGACTGGTTGAGACAAAAGTTAGAGCCAATGCGCTCACAGGACGTCGCGTCGGTCGGGGGAATGCGGCCGATACGAGCGAGGCGGCGCGGTGCTCCTTTTGGAATAGGATTCTCTCGAAACCATCTAGCTCGTGCGTGAAAGTTTCGGACAAAGTTTGAAACTTCTTTCCGCATTCATTGAGAGATTATGGGAATAGGTTCCGAACGAGTCAAATGTCATTGATAACCGGAAGAACCTGCCTAGTAGCCAACCACAAGCACCATCATTCCTATCTGTTCGAGAGAATTTGATCACAGCCTTGCCTTCACTTGGGAAATAGGCATGTTTTCCTGCAGTAGTCTGACATACGTGCAGATAGAATAGATCAATAGAATTTTCTACCCTGAAAACGAGAAGCCATCACAATCCATTTGCGTAAAAAATGCCGAACCTGTTCCGATCCTGGAGTTAAGACGAGTTCATACTCGTGCCGTACAGCTGCTGGATGCTGTGTGCAGTATACGGCTGCAGTACGTAAACGGACGGCAAAGCTGCACGTTGCTTCCAGCAGATGCCGCACTGCATTTTCAAAATGGCACGATCGGCCTAGTTGAAGTGTCTATTA